TAAACAATAAAATTAAAAATGGGTATAATCAATAACAATAATATTTCTTTAGTTGCAAAAATAACTTATTCTTCAGTAGAAACAGAGAAGAATAAAATTTTAGCTGTAAATAAAGGAAAAGCTGGAATTTATATGTGGACTCATATTGAATCTGGTAAAATTTACGTAGGTTCTGCAGTAGATCTTTATAAAAGATTAAAACAATATTATTCTTCTTCTTATTTAAAACGAACAAAAAATTATATTTGTAATGCTTTAAATAGTTATTCACATTCAGCATTTTCTTTATCTATTATAGAATATATAGATATTTCAGGTTTGTCTTATAAAGAAGCTCGTAATTTAATACTAGGACGTGAGGATTCTTATCTTAAACAAATCTTTGAAGTAGATGAACCTAATACTTATAATATACAAAAAGTCGCAGGTTCTTGGTTAGGTACTAAACATTCTGTAGAGACTATTGCAAAAATGAGTTTAGCTAAAACTGGTGAAAAAAATCCTATGTTTGGTAAGAATCTTACTGCAGAAACAAAAGCAAAAATTAGTGAAGCCAATAAAGGTAAAGCTGTTTCTGCTGAAACAAAAGCAAAATTGAGTAAGGCACAAAAAAGCATAGATAGATTAGGTATCAATAATCCTGCTAGTAGAAAAGTATATATTTTTACATTTGATTCAGATACAAAAGAATATATACTGTCTAATTCATTTGTCTCTTGTACAGAAGCGGCAAAACATTTTAAATGTAGCGTAAAAACTATTTCAATATCTCTCAAAAGTGGAAAAATTTTTAAAGAGAAATGGCTTTTATCTACAACCTTAATTTTGCCAAGTTAACTCAGACTCTGAGGAATAGAAAATGGGCTATTCGATACGAGAATTCCGTATTTTAACACCCCCCCCCCAAGGGGTTCCTAAACACATCTGCTCCAACTGCCTTTTTATATATTATATAATATAGGATGATAGTTTAATTGGTAAAGCAGTCGACTCCAAACCGACAACTGGAAGTTCAATTCTTCCTCGTCCTGTAATATAATTTTTATATTAAAACAATCATTACCAATTTAATAGAATTATCAAGGTCCAGCTTCAAGGTAAGGGGGGCTATTTAAGGGTTGGTAGCTATAAAGAAGAAAAGGTAAAAATAAAATATTATAAAGAATTATGTTACTATTAAAAAATCTATTTTTAGTACCTTGTAAAATATTTCTGCTATTATATCTTAGTTGATAAAGTTAACCTCCACTTATCTCGAAATAATTTTTCATTTTTTACATATTTTAATATAGTTGAATGGTTACTATTAAAATATTCAGCTGCGTTCCTAGCAGAACTAAGAGTATTCATTAGTGTACCTTGAGAATCAAATACATTAATTATTCCTCCTCCTTTAGCAATACTTAATCTTGCTACCATTTCATCTGAATGAATTTTGCCAAAGGAATGATGATTCACACCTGTTCTTCCAAACATCGGATGTTTATTACCTCTTTTGGCTTCACTCATTAAAGCTAAAGTTTCCTTTGAATGATTAAAACCTAGCGAAGAACCAGCTATTTTAAGAATATTAAATTCTGGTTTAAGCACATCAAAATAATACTGCTCTTTAGATATTAGATCCTTTGGTTCACAATATTCAAATACTACAAATATAAAATCTTGTAAATTATATTTGCTAATTGCTCTTTGAAGTAAGATATTAGATATATAGCCATTAATATGTTCATTAAATCGAAAAGATAAATCAATCGAAGAACCTATATATAATTTACCGGTTGTTTTGCAAAGAAATCCATAAACACCGGAATTACCTTTTAATTCCAATTTAGTAATATTTTGTATTTCCGTTAAATGCAATGAACCTATAAAAATCTCTAGGGAGTTAAAAAATTGTTGAATTCGTGTCATGGGTTTTATTAATTTTAGTAACCTCTACCTACCTTAGAAATTATTTGATGAACAGATTAAATAAATCTATTTTCAAAAAGGTATAAATCCTAGCCTGGTCGGCCCGCCCCGCGGGGCGGGCCTGGTCGGCCCCCCCCCGCGGGGCGGGCCTTATATAATTCTTTTTTGCTTTAGTTTTTATTTGTTCCCAGTATATTGGCTTCTCATCAAAAAACTATTTTTTTTTCCACATTTTATAACAATATTCGGGGTCGGCCATTCGATTAAAAAAAAAATGTGATACAGAAAATTAATAAATAAGGTCTTATAGATCTCTATCGGGGAAATTATTCCTATATAAATAATATATATATTAATAAATTTAAACGAATTTTATAACTTGGAATTATGTAAGAATCTAATAAATTGTATATTAATACCCGAGAAAATCCTCATTAGTATAAGATTTATAAAACAAATGTAGGAATATTGTATACATTACTCCTCAGAAGGATTGTCCTGTATACAACATACCGAAAAGGGGATAATCGAACTCCCATTAAATAAAGCAAGTATATTTACTTTATCTACTTTACCTACTTAAGTTACATCCCGTCGGGTTCTACAGGATATAAATCTGTGAAACACTCAAACTCTAATAGATTAGTTTAGAATTATAATTGATTGATCTAAAAAATAGAATATATAATTAATGATTAATAATTATTGAGAAGGGAGACTCTAAATCAATTCCACTTTTTAAGTTAAATTTAGTATAAAAATTCTTTTCGGGCAAGAAAGGATTCGAACCTCCGCATGTTTTCACATATTTAATTTCAAGTTAAACGCTTTAAACCTCTCAGCCACTTGCCCGCTACTATTATATATATATATTTTATAATATAATTGGTCATAGCCACTTTAATACACGGAAAAAAGGACGTCCAGATTGGCCACCGGGGGGGGTGTTTAGAAATTTACTTTCTAAACTTATAATAATTAATAATAGTATATTAACCCCTACTATTATTTGGATTTTTGCGCAACCGGTGATGAAGAAAAAATCCATTGGTTTTTAAACAATTTACCAGTATCAGTATATTTCTTTATTGTTCTATGACAACAATTCAAACAATTCTTTGCTTCTGACTATCCACATTAGAATTAATCATTACAGGAACAAAGATTGTTAACAATATCTCAGAGTTTGAGATAATGAAGATGATTCTAATATATCTTCAGATAACCCCTTAGAACAAATAAAATTTTTAATAAAATAAGATACTGTACGTAATTACCTCAACTTCGTTAAAATTATTAGCTGAGATTCTCTGGGGGTGTTAGATCTTTGATCTAACGTAATAATTAGAACCTTGTTAATAGTATATAAACCTTACTATCATTTTGGTCACTTATTTCTTTGATAAAGTTAATATCCACTGTTTTTGAAATAATTTCCCACTTTTAATATATCTAGAAATAGACATACTGCTACAATTAAAATGTATCGCAGCAAGGTTCTAAATTAGACTCAAATTCATGCTCAAGAATTGAGGTAGAACTTGAATATGCAAATACTTTTTTGCTCAAGGATTTCGAAATTTTTGCATAAGTCTCAGCGGAATGATTTTTACCAAACATTGGATGATTCTCTTTAGTTTTACCTTTATGAGATTCACTCATTAAAGCTTTAGTTTTCTCTGAATGTTTAAAACCAAGAGAGGAACCTGCTACTTTAAAAATGTTGTACTCCGGCGAAAGAAAATCAAGATAAAATTGTTCTCTTGATATTAGGTCCTTTGAGTCACAATATTCTAAAATTACAAAGAAAAAATTTTGTAATTCATGTTTATTGATAGCTCTTTGCAATAAAGTATTAGATAGAGAACCTTTTATATGATTATTAAATCTAGTAGATAAATCAATAGAAGAGCTTTTCTTGCTTATCTTCAATTTTTTTTATTTGCTCCAGAGGAACAAATTCCCTGAGGGGTTTTGCTCTTTTAATATTATTATTTTAAAGATTATATAATGTTTCTATTTATAATTCTCTGTTGCGTAGCCGGAGGGTTATTCCAAACAACATTGTCTTCAACTCCGGCTGCGCTATATATTATCATCGTCATTTATCTCTGCAATCGAACATAATTATGCAGATATAAATAAATCACAAATCCCTACTGACAATAAAGGGACCCTACAAAGCGGGGATTTATTTATGGACACATAAAGAAACTTATAAATTATATGGTGGAAGTGCTATAAACTTACCCAAACGATTATCTAATCATTATTCAATAGGTTATTTAAATCATAAGAATAAAAGTATGGTATGTGATGCATTGTAGAATCACGGTTACTCAGCATTTAGCTTAACAATTATTGGGTATTTAGATATTCCTAATTTTAACAAAGATGAGATAAAACCTAATATCCTAAAAAGAGCCCTGGGGGTTTTTATAATCTAAAAAACCTGTTCGCCCCGGGCCCCTTCGCGGGGGCCTTTAAAAATAAAAGGCTTTCGGGGGGGGGGGCAAACGCGAAGCCGCAATATTTTATAAAATTCTTGAACCCTGGATCCTATATATTAAAAATAGCAGGGGACTTATTAGGGTATAAACACTCAAAGGGGACACGTAAAAAATGAGTGTAGCTAAATCAGGGGGGGGGGAATAATCAATGTGTGGGATGACTGGGGGGTGGGGAAGTCATCTCTTTGGTAGTACTCTCAGTAAAAAAGTTAGAGAAATATTGAGTCTTGTTAATAAAAATAAGAAATATAAACAGGGGGGGGGGCTTAGAAAAAACCTCTCTTGCTCTAACTGGTAGAAGAAATCTTAATTCTAAAAAGTGTCTCTATAAACAAGTGGAAATCCTTTAATTTCGCATAAAGAGTTTGGCATATAGACTTCTGCTGCGAAGTATATAAATTACCATATTTGAGCAATTAGGAGATACGAGGACACTACTAAAACGTATAAAAATAAGTAGATCTTACATTCTACTCCACTTAATTTGGAATTAAAATTTTTAACACCCCCCCCGGCTTCGCGTTTGGCCCACCCGTGAGCCCCCCCCACAGAGGGTCTTACTTATCTTAACATATTAATAGGGGATTAGCTTAGGTGGTTAGAGCAACTTACTTACAATAAGAAGAGGAGAGTTCAATTCTTTCATTCCCTAAATAAGAAATTATCCCTTATAAGTAAAATTCTTATTTGATTTTCATAAAGAATAGATAATGCTTATTTGGGACTAGGATCTTGTTTGAATTACCAACCGGTAATAAAAATAATCATTAATAATATAATTATTAATAATATAAACATTAATAATATAACCATTAATAAGATAACCATTGATAATATAATTGTTAATTAAATTATTCTATTTTATTAGGATCATTTAGGTTTAGGCAATTTTAACTTAAATAGTTCAAGTCTATTTTACAAAATATTCTTTTACAAATTATTCTTTTACAAATTATTCTTTTTTTTTTAGTATAGAGCCTCCCTGTTGTGGGCCCCACCCCCCCCCATGATGGGACCGGGAGTCTTAAGGTTATTATTTAGTTGGTTCATATAGATAAATATATAAAATATACTTTTAGGATATTCTCTTTTTTTTTAATCTCCCTCTAAACCTTTATTTTTATATTTAATAAATAAAGGATTTTACACACAAATAAAATTATGGTACGAAGGCTTTTTTCAACAAATATTAAGGTTTAGATGCCCTTTATATTTTATTTTCGCATCATCCCCAGTTATAGTTGGATTATTCCTTACTTTTTCGGCATTATTCAATGTTCCAAAATTATCATTTATCCCTTCTCTTCAAGATGGGGGTTTTACATTCTTTGTCTCTATAATGATTAATCCTGATCCAGGAACGGAGAGATCACAGATCCTGTCGGGTAATAAAGGCAGAGTAGGTATTTATCAGCGGGGCTTGTAATTACGGGTCGTATTTATATAGATCCCCCTTATAACTAAGCACTACGGTCAAAGGGTTATTAGTCTAAAACTTATTTAGAGCGTAAGAATTCAATGGATATCTGTAAGACTATAGGGCATTATAGGTCTTCTCAATCTCCTCTAACAGTTTTTGAGCCTCACCCCTGTTTGCCCCCTTTTTTGGGGCTCTGGGGTGGGGCCACCGGAGGCAGCCTCCAGAGTTTTTTATTTTCTAAAAAACCGGCTTCGCGTTCGGTCCCCAGGGGGGGGGCCTGTTTAATATACTTAATACAGTGCGCAGCCGGTTCTTCGCTAGGTTAAAAAGCATTCCCTATTAACTTTAGCTTAAAAGAGTGAAGCCAAAACTGGTAAAATAACCCTATGTTTGGTAAAAAAGGTGAGGATAGCCCTATGTTTGGGCGAACCCCCTTATGCAGATAGAAAAGCAAAAATGTGTCTTGCCAAAATGTGCAGCCGGTGAAATTCATTTTTTTTTTGTTTGGGAAACCACATTCTGAAGAAACTCTTACCAAAATTAGTAAAGCCGTGGGTATTGGAAATTTTATTGATCCTTCTGATAAATCTTCTCTCCTACCTACATTTAATTTGGCTAGAAAAGCAGCGGGGTGTTTTTAAATTTTTTGTAACACTATTTTAAATATGCAAAAAGCGGGGGATCCCTTAAGAACGAGTGGATATTATCTACTTCTAAGGATTAAATTATAATAATTTATAATAACAGCATAGATATACAATAACAGCTTAGATATTCAATAATATTTTGATATTTGCAGCTTGGCTATTTTTGGGGGTAAAAGGTTTGATTCCAAACTTTTTACTAAAGATTTGAGTCTTAGGATTCTTTACCATTAAGGAAAGTCCAGAATACTTATTAAATCTAAATTTACGATAAACTATATATTGTTAATTTAAGATAAAGTTATTATTAAGTTTTTATATTTTTATATCTTAACATATATACTTTTCTAATCTATAAAATATTATAAGTAATCATTGAAAATTGAGGTACTTTTAAAGAAATCCTATCTTTTACTTTCTTTTCTTTAAATTTTATATAACCCTGCAGGGGATCCTCACTCCCCCCCCCCTTTTTTTTTAGAGGGGGGTTGCCCCTTAAAATTTTTAGATAAAAGGATAAATATATTATCATATGGGGATAAAGAAAAATTTTGTTAATTATTCCCCCTACTATTTATAATTTACCCCTTATGTATTTCATAAATAATTTAAACCTTTTTAGGTTTATAATTCTTTAAATAAATAAGAGGATAGATAACCTTAACAAGTATAAGAATGTTAATATAAGACCTATTTAAGTTTAGCTCTTTAAGAGTAAGATGAATTCTTTGAGTGAATAAATATAGCTCAATAAAAAACATAGTCTAGATATTTATAAAAACTACCCACGGGTGGTTACCCCTCTCTAAGAGGCCCGCAGAGGGGGGGGGTTACTATTTATAAAATATAATTGATCTATGTCTAATAAAATTAATACAGGATCTGGCTTATAAGAATCTAAGACACCCAACGGGAGGGTTCTTTTATGGGGCTTTGAAACTTAAGTATAAGGGGGTTCAAATCCCTTCAAGTATTGAAAAAATAGGGGGTCACCTCTCGAGCGAGGATCCGTGGGACTAAGTAAAACCTTTACATTATATTTAAAATTACTTTTTAAATATCTTATTCAGGACACATCTAAATCATATTGTGCATATTTAAAAATTAAAAAATTTTCAGATTTTTTTTTGGAGTATCCCTTACAATTCTTGAATATATTGACATTTCGAATTTAGATTTAAAAGAAGCTCGAAAATTAATCTTAGAGCGAGAACAATTTTTTATAGATTCTCTTTCGCCTGAGTACAATCTTAACCCTATAGCAGGCTCTCGTTTAGGATCACAACATACTGAGGAAACTAAGGCTTTACTTAGTGAAATCAATAAAGGGGAAAATCACCCTAGTAAAGGTAAGACTCGTTCTGCTGAAACTAGAGCAAAACTTAGTAAAATTATGTCTGGTGGAAATAATCCAATGTTTGGTAAAACTGGCGAGAATAATCCAAATTTTGGTAAAACACATTCAGCTGAGACTAAGATTAAAATGAGCACTGCCAAAAAAGGTAAAAAAACTACTGCTGAGACAATAGCAAAGATTAGTGCCGCTAAAGGAGGAGGTATAATTTATCTTTATAATACTGATCGTTTACTAGTTAGTACTTTCTGTTCTGCTAGAAAGACTGCCTCACATTTTAAAGTTTCTTGTAGTACTATTTTAAGATATGCAAAAAGCGGGGAAACTTTTAAAAATGAGTGGATTTTGTCTACTAAGAATAATAATGACTAATAACCCCTGTGAAGGGGAGCCGTAGGGGGCATAATATACGACTATGCATTATTATTATATTTTATTTAGAAATGAGATTAATGTTTCTAACACCCCCCGGTGGCCTAATCCTACATTTATTAAAGAAAAAATCTTTAATATAAATTATATGTTTACCTACTGTGAGACTTGAACTCACACGCTATAAAAGCAATTGATTTTAATTCAACCTTGTCTACCATTCCAACAAATAGGCGGCTTATATAATATTTGAGTTAGAGGCTAAAGATACCATTTCGACAAATAGGTGACTTATATATATGATTTAGGAACTAAACCTAAATCAAATTAACACTCCCACCTTCTGCTGAAACTAAAGCGAAATATAGTGTAGCACAATTAGGGCGAAGGATTCCGAAACTCGTGTTAAATTTAGTGAAGCTACGAGAGGTGAGGATAATCTTTTTTACCGAAGGAGGAGTCCCTTCTACTGTAGAGGGAAGTGTGTACTAAAGAAGCATACCTTATGTATTATTTATTTAAGATATTATTTATTTAAGATATTATTTATTTAAGATATTAAATAAATAAGGTGGCTAACACCGGGGACGGGTATTCTAAAGGGCTACCTCATTCGATACTGGACTGAGGATAATGATGGTTCGAAGAAAAAAAGTAACAGATATTAAGGTAAGATATGTGTAGTTAACTCATCTAAAATTACTATAAACAGTAAAAACGAGTAGGACAACATGTTAACAAAATCAAAAGGTAATAATTCTGGCATTTTTTTTTATAAATAAAAATAATTAAATTTTTATCCTCTTGTAATATCCTTCCCCCCTTACTTCACGTGCGGGCTGTAGGGGAGGGGGGGCAAACAGGAAGACAGCAAGTTAATCAAAATAAAATAAAAATCTTATATATTGTAAAAACAATATATAATATCTCAAAAAGACAAAACTTAATCTATCTTTGATGGGCTTTATGTTATTTTTCTATAAACTCATTATTAACTAACCACTTAGAGAAAAGGTCTCAAATCCCCCAGTAGATTAACAGGGGTGGCCCCTTCGAAGAAGAAGAGAGTAAGAAGATTGTTTACCCCCCCCTTCTCTTTAAGTAAAGATAATCATCATTGGCTGTTAAACCATATACGCAAAAGTTCAAAAAAAAGAAAAATGTTGTTAATATCAGTTTATTTTTTTTAGGGGGGGACTTGTGAAATAAATAAAAGAATAACTTTTATTTATTTATTGAAATAAATCTTATACGATTTATGTTAAGTTTTTATCGGGATTAAACGGATTCGAACCGATATCCTCATAATCGACAATTATGTGCTCTACCAAATTAAGCTATAATCCCTTCTTTTAAAATCTTCTTTTATTAACCCGTCAATAGGATAGGGGGACAAAAAAGCCACCTAACAGGGTGAGGGGGGGTGGTAACTATCTATATAAAAATAGTAGGGTGAGGAATTTTAAATATAAAAATAAAGCTAGCCTTAATATAAACTATATATAACCCTTGAGTCCAAAAAGTTTTTATAAAAAAGTCTGGCCCCCCAAGGGGCCAAGTCTAAAACCCTTCTACAGACTTGGACCGCCCACCTCTTAAAGACTTAGGAGTTCAGTTGGTTCCCCTCGGGGGTTGGGCCTAAAATTATGGGATATACAATACCCCCCCCCCCCTAAAACACTATTAAATAATTTTGATTCTTATGTAGAAACAGCTAAATTTATAGGCTGTAATAAAGGTTATATCCGTAGAATTATAGATAAGAATAAATTATATAAAGGGGGATGGTTTTTTTATTCTAGTATCTTACCTAGCGATTAATTTGTTTACTTTTTTAAGCAAACAGTCTATAGATCATCCCAGCGTTCTTTTCTCCCCCCCCGAGAGAAATATTACTTAAGGAAGTGGCTATGCCCGTTGTGAAGATAGAATATTAAGTACAATAATCTTTATAAAATGACAACTTTAAATAGTCCTGTTTTCATTAGAAACCTGTTGGAGCAAATCTCCCTAAAAACATTTAACTTTTTGGGTAATTCTCTCATATCGTCTCATATTTTTACCCAAATCCCCTCATATTTTGTTCAAATCACCTCATATTTAGCTAAAGGGTTAAAATTAAAATTCCAAATAATCGCTATTCTGACTGACGGGTTATAATTTTATTAACCCTGGCATTTTTTTTAACCCTTAGTTTATATCTTAGGACCGTTAATGTAGTGGATTTTTTTATTAACCATTCTTTTATTACTACTCTCATTTATTATACTTCTAACAATTCTAATGATACAAATAATTTTAATAGTAATCCTAGTATAGGATATTTAGGTAAGATATATGTAGATAATACATATAAAAAAGGGGCCGACGATGGGCGAACAGTACATAGATGTTACTAATCTGTCTAAGCATGTATCTCGTAAATTGGCACTCTCTAGAGAACAATATTATTTAGATTCGACCCTCCGGGCTTTCACCTAAATAGAATATACCTAAGTTAGCTGGTTTCTCTTTAGGGTCCATACAGAAGAGAGTCGGGCTAAAAAGGATTTAGTCGATAAAGAGACCCTTAAAACAGATGGGATAAAACTAAAATTGGTTTAGCTAAAACAAACAAAGATCCCCGATGTTTGGTAAAATCATAATGAAGGTGTTAAATTGCTGAAAATGAGTTTAGTGTGAGCAGGGGGGGGGGTAATCATCCTATGTACAATAAAAATTATACTCCAGAGACATTGCCAAAAATTAGTTTAGTAAAAAGTGTATGGAAGAAAAAAGCATATAGATATACTAAAGATCTTGTTTCAAAAGAGATAATACTATTTAAATCTTTTGGGAATCCCACAGATTCTGGGGGGGGAGGTATCCTAATCGCAGTAAACTTACATTAGCTAAGTATTAGATAAAACAAGTTATACGCTGAGGATTAAATGGCTTTTATCCTCTAATAACCTAGGCAACAATTAATTTTTCTGTATTCTTTTAACAAATGTGCCCTGGATTCCATGCGTTTGATGGTCAATTACCTACACAATCAGTTAACACCCCCCCCTCCTTCCCTCCCCTTCCCTTTCCTTCCCTTCCTTCCCCTATTAGATTAACATAAAACTTGAAAATGGGATTTGAATTTCTTTATTCTCGAATCTGTTAATTTTGGATCTCCTTAATCTTAAACACATATAATAACAGCTGTTATAGCTTAATGATTAAAGCAAGTTACTGTTAATAATTGGATAGAGGTTTGATTCCTCTTAACGGCTTTCAAGGTTCTATGATGATATATATAAACCCCCTAACTATATCTTTTTCTTGTCCGTTATAGAGAAAGACTTTAATTCCTGTTTTTTGTATCTATGCCCTTTTATTATGTAGATTATTCTGGTTATTTCATGAAAAATGCGAATATCCCTATTATTTTAGGTGAAATGTATAATGATTTATACTCAGGGTATACGGGTGGGGCGGTAGATGTATATAAACCTGTTGCTAAAAATGTTTATAATTATGATGTTAATTCATTATTCCCTACAGCCATGTTCTTTTATAATATGCCTGTTGGCTCCCCTACTTATTTTGAAGGGAATATAAGTTTAACTAATAATAATTCTTTTTCAGGTGAATAAACATTAATAAAACCGTTACTATATACAGTACTAGTAGAAATTAAATTTAGTTTGACTCATTAAGGCCTTACTTTCATCTGAATATTTAAGATTTTCTCTAGATGTAGATATCTTAGCTTTATGATCTTGTGTTAATTCTCGTCCAGTTGTTGAACCTGCTATTCTTAAAATATTATACTCAGAATTATAATTATCAAGTAAAAATTGTTCTAATTCTAACACAGATTCTTTTTTAGGTAAAATTATTACAATTAAAGAAAAATTATTCATACCATGGGATAATAAAGCATTAATAATTAATGAAGTATAAATTATTTTAACTGTTTTATAACCATAATAAAAATATAACCTTTTAGCTAAATTAGTAGAACTTCCTACGTAACATTTTTTATTATTATTATTTACCCAAATATAACATCCTGGTAAATTTTTAGTTTACTGGAATATTCCCTCTCTTTGAATAAAAGGATCTTTAAAAACATAAGTTTGACTCATATATTTTTATAACCATATCCCTTGTATTAATATAACAAGGGGGGGGGGATTTTTAATCCCTTGGTTTATAACTACTCCACACCACGTTCCCTCCGTTTATCTTTGTTAGTAATATTCTAAATAAGTTGGGTGTTTTTTAAATGGCCCCGTTTGTATTTTCATACCTGCCATCCTCATTTATAGAGGTTTATTTAGAATTAAAAATTAAAGCAGTTAACTGACTAACTTATTCTTATAAATGTATTAACGCTGTAAACTATATAGATTACACCCTGCTATTATTCATTTTATCTTTGATAGCTAAAATTTTAGTAATCCCTTCAGGTGTAAGATGTTGAGAATCTTTAATAAGATGAGCTACTTCACAAAAGTCTATAAAATCTAAATATTTATTACTTTTTAATTTATATTCTTCGAAGAATGGTATAATCTTAGTAAATATATCATCAAATTTTGACACATTTATATCTATAATATGTATTTGACTTCCTGAATAAGCTTTTCTTTGTATTGTACCGCAATTTAAATATTTAATTATTAAATTTAATAAATTTAAATCTCGATCATGCTGAGCTATTCTAAACATTAATTTAACTTTATGTGTTAATAAATTGTTTGTTTTAACAGCATTTACAAAAAATGAACCATCTCCATCAGTAAACCCTGTAATCCAATTAGGGTCAGGAATTGATAAAGTATTAATAATAGGTCTTTCACAAGGTGTAATCCCTGGGAAAGATATTGATAATTTTTCTGATAAACCTAAATTCATACTTGCTTTTATTGCAATAATTTTTAATAACCCTTCATCAGTTAGATGTTCTTTATTCTTCATTAATAAAGCTATTTTCTCAAAAAGTAAAAAATCAGCTTGTTTTTGGGATAATAAAGGATATTTATTAAAATGCAGTAAAATGACATTATAGATATCATCAAATTTTCTTACTGACCAATAAGCTTTAAGATTTTTAGAATTTTTAGATTTTCTTATACTAATAGTTCCTATACCGTTAAAATATTTTTGTAAAATGTTTAATAAAGGTAAATCTTTTTCATGTAATTGAATACCAAACCGTAAACTAATTTGATATCCTCCTGACTGTTTTGGGCTAATTGTAACATTAAAAAAACCTTCTGCATCAGTAAATCCGGTTAAATACCATGCTAAATTTGTGTTATTTATCATTAATTTATTTCCAAGAGACTAAATTATTATAATCCCCTTTTATTTTCCCTTATTAATTATAAGGGGGGGGGGATTTTTAATCCCTTGGTTTATAACTACTCCGCAGCACGTTCCCGTACCCCGACTATGTTTCGACTTAACAGCAGTCGTGAAGTAATGGACATAAAGAGTAATCTTAGATATATGTAATGCTTGTATACCGTTTTAAAGGTAATTATCATAATAAAACAATACTATATAAAAGAGCCCTTTATTTGAGATCACTCCACTTCCGCCGCTTGACGAGCGATTTGTACACGCCGAATATTATGTTTCACCAAGACATCCTGATTCTTGATTACTAGCAATTCCTACTTCATATAATCGAGTTGCAGATTATAATTCGTTTATTAACCTTTTTTGGAGATTAGCTCAAATGTAAATTTTTGCTTCTTATTGTAAAGGTCTTTGTGGCACGTCTATAGCCCACTCCATAAGGGCCATGAAGGCTTGTCTTAGTCCTAATTAACTCAACATTAATCGAGTACTCCTGTAGTTTAAATTAAACTTTTACAGAGAAAATCCCACCCTTTTCAGGGTGATCCTTTACGAGACCTGTTTATTTTTTAATCTTTATAATTACAGACAAGGGTTTTGCTTGTTAACGAAATTAATCTAACGTCTTACGATACAAGCTGACGACAGCCATGCAACGCCTGTGTTACCAATTATATTGGTACATTGCAAGAAGTGGTAAGGTTATGCGTGGGTTATCGAATTAAATAACATGCTTCACTGCTGGTCTTCAGCACCGTCAATACTTTTGGGTTTCAATCTTGCGACAGTACTCCCCAGGTGGAGTGGTATAGTCTTCACATTAAAACTGATTTTTATTACCAATTTTATCCACTCATGGTTTAGGGTATGGACTACAAGGGTCTCTAATCCTTTTTGCTCCCCATACTTTAGTATCTCAGTGTCAGTGTTTAATTAGATAGATGCCTTCGCCTTTAGTGTGTCTACCAAGTATAAAAAGATTTCATCCTTACTCCTAGTATTCCTCTATCTTCAATTACACTCTAGTATCTCAATTACATTTTATAATTTTTCTATTGAAATTTTATAACTACTGTTTGATAATACAACCTACATACGCTTTAGACCCATTTATGTTGAAGAACGTTAACCCCTCTCGTATTACCGCGACTGCTGGCACGAGATTGGTCGGGATTAATAAATAGGTAACGTCATTATCCTCCCTATTTTAGAGGTATACCATAAAGATGCTTTTCCTCTTCTAGTTAGCTGGATCAATCTTTCGACCATTGTCCAAAATTCTTTACTGCTGACCTTTTTGTTAGGTATGGCTATTATTTCAGAGCCATTGTGACGAACCCTCCTCTCAGACTCGTTATGGATCATAGGCTTGGTAAGCTATTACCTTACCAACTACCTAATCCAAAATAGGCACATTCCATGACGAAAACATTCCTTTTAACCACTCCCGAAGGAATAACTATATAAGGGATTCACCCTATTCATGGTGTAGTTTCCTATTTACTACTCACCTGGTCGCTATGAAGATAATATCTTCATTCAACTAGCATGTATGAAACTTCTAGATAACGTCGCTTCTGAGCCAAATTCAAACTCTTACTATATTTACCAAAAAATGGTGACAAAATTTATTATTCTTTTAATGTATAATCGGGTCATAGCCAGCTTTATCAATAATCGGTCTTAGCCCGCTTTTTTACCTAAAATTCTTATAAACATAATATATACTCATTCCCCCTTTTTCCTTATTCTCTCTCATTATTTGTCTTATCTCACCCCCCCCCCCTGAAGTGTCATTTTTTGCATTTTTACTTTCTCCCTCATAGAGAGATTAATATTTTTATTTTTCTCACCCTTAGAGAATAATTTTTTCTCCTGCCCCCCCCCCCTTTTTTTAATAAGTTGGAGGTTTCTTATTACCGTTAGGGGAGGCCTAATCTTAACACACTTTATCTTATTTCGGTTCTGCCGTTAGTTCTAAAGCCTTACCTTTCTTTTAAACTAATTTAAAATTTAAACGGATTTCAACTTTTTCTCTCTGCCTGCCTCTCTTAGAGCCTTAAAAAAAAATTATTGGTAAATAAAACTAGTAAAATCTATCTTCAACTTTAAATAAAGATAGTCGCGTTAGTGGGATTTATAAAAAATATAACGGCTCTAAATGTATTTTACCTTATAGCCCCCCCCTTTACCCTTTATTATCTAATAATCTATTAAAAATTGTAAGTTTTGAGAATAAACCTAAATTATGGGTTAATTAACTGTCTGGTGTACTAGAAGATTTATACAATAATAACGAGTTTGTTGAATTTAAGCTTTACTTTTTTATTCTCCCCATTTCATTAATTATGTTTGGATAATTGTTATTGCGCTTTTAAATAAATTTGGGCCTGAATTAATAGATAAAGAAAAATTTAGAATCTATAATAACGTCTTTTTAATTTCTTGCTCTTGTGTTTTAGTATGGTTCTCATTATATGATAAAGGCAATTTATTGAAAATAAGCTATCATATTCATAATACTATTGTTAATAAAACTAATGAAATCAATTTACAAATTAGTAAGACAGTCCTAAAGGCTGTTTTTGTCAATAGAAAAGATGAGGACTTTTTTTTTTTAGATAAAATAACTCCCCCTCCCTGGTCGGCCCGCCCCGCGGGGCGAGCCTATAGATTTAGGGGAAGATGTTGTTTTAAGAATTTCTTCTAATTATGACAATCCCCTTATGAGAAAAGATAAAGATTTTTTTAGAAAAGACCCTAAGGGGTCTTCTAGTTCTCACCCTTTTAAAGTGGGTAGTAGACTAAACTCTTTAAAATCTAATAAATTTAATCCTTCTTTTAACAGATTAAATCACGAGGATAAAAACTTATTCTATAGGGAATAGCAATTTAAATCTGAAAGAGGCCTTAAACAACC